GCGCACGACCCCGCCTTGGCCCGCGCGACCGTCGGCTCACCTCGCGGCCGGGACCCAGAACCCTCCTCCAGGCGCCCCTCGAAACCGGCCTCCGCTGACGGTCGCAGCGAAAACCGAAACCGCCCGAGCAGCGGCTCCTTTCTGTCTCAGCCAATCAGTGCTTCTTCGGCTACGGTAGCCCGCGGGGGCCGAAAAGGTCGTACCGCGCCGAGGCGCACGGATCCAAGGGTCGTGATTTGTTTGGTGACCAAATAGTACGGTTGAAGTAGCCAGCTCCAGTGTTCTTTTAACAGAAAAGAGAATTGAAAAAACAAAACCAAATTGGAAGTGATCCTTTGAGTAAGATTTCTTTACAGAAGTGAAAGGGATAACGAAGTAATAGGGAACGAATATACTATTAAAATAACGGAAAATGAGTATCCAAAAATGTTCCGAAATAATTTAGACAAAATAAAATAGTCTCAAATCTTTAAATCCACCTTTGATGTTAATTACATGTGTGAAGACTAAATCACTATTATCAAAATTTTTTCCACAGCAATGTTGATAAAACTGAAATCATCAAAGTAACTCCAAATGATAATGGCATAAATTGTGATCCATTACAAACTAGTTCAAATTGCAAATAATACGAAGATATTATTTAATTGCTGCTAGGAGAATTTGGTTTACGGGTTCATGTGAATTCTTAATGTTCTTGGAGAGGAAAAAGGAAAATGGTTCTCAGTGCAGGAATCATCAGCTTAAAATTTACAGTTTTATGTATGATATCAACGTATAAACTCAGAGATACTCTAATCATCAAGTGGTAGGTCCTTAAACCTATATTATGAGATCTAAGATGGGGAACTTTTTTTAAGATAAGAAAGTAACTTGCGGAGCTGGGGAAATAGCTCAGTAGTATGAGCGCTGGCCTTGCAAGTGCAAGGGCCTGAGTTCAATCCCCAGTTCTGCCAAAAAAGAAAAGAAAAAGTGACTTCCCCTTCTTGTGAGTGGCTCTTAGCTAAAGGCAAAAGTGATGAACCTCAGATAGACATGGATATGACAAATGGAGACTTTATTCTATTATAGAGACTTTATTCTATGCTATACAAGTTCGGTTTGGTAAAGATGAAATAGTTATAGATTTATTGAGATGGCTGCATTTGAAGTTCTTGCAGTATAATTTTTTTTTCCAGTACTGGGGATTGAACTCAGGATCTTGCACTTGCCAAGGAAGTGCTAATTCTACTGAGCTATCTCCCCGGCCCTAAAATGCTAGGCAAATAACTTTTAAGTGTTATTTCAATCAAAGAAATAACTGTAAAGCACAACCATAGGATATAAAGTCTTGTCCCTAAAGCCTTTCTTCATAAAAAATGTGAAGTGGTACCACCTTCTTCACTGATTGTTTTAATAATTCAAAAAATGAGCTTCTGGCTCATTGCTGCTTTCACTTTGGCACAGAGGCTCGAGAGCTATTAAACCTAGTGTAGTGAGCAGGGCGTGATGAGCTCTCAGGGCCTGGGTCATCTGCAGAGCAGCTGCCACCTTGTCCAAGGGACACAGCTCAGTGAGAGCCAACTTGACAAATGGCTTGGACCAGCAAGCTTGTAAGAAATGTGGTTTCAGAACACAACAAAACAAAAGAAGCGGCTGTTTCCAGAACTCCCTCAGCAGTTTACAATTAGCTTTTATTAACTTGTGAGGCATATTTCCATATTTCACATGTGGGCTTTTCCCAGCATCTTTTATTATATTACCAAGACAACATATTCCAAGACATTTTCTGAATACTAGTTCAAGAACCAGCCTTCAAACCCCTCAACATAAACTTTACTATATTAAGGAGGCTTAAAGTCACAAAAATAATCTGGCAAGGTTTGGTTTACCTTGCATAGTTCAGTTGTTACAACTGACAAACTACACTGCCACTTCATTATTGTCACCAAAGTCCATAGTTTGCATTAAGGTTCACTCTTGATGTTGTGCAATTTGTGGATTTTGACAAATACATTGTGAAAATTATTCGCTATTATAGCATCACATGGAACAGCTTCACTGCACTAAAGATCCTCTATATTCCACCTGTACCTCTTCCAACTCATAGTAATCACTGATGTTTTCATTGTCTCCATGGCTTATTCTACTTCCAGTATGTAACATAGTTGGACTCAGACCATACATACATGGTAGTACACACGCTGCATTACCCCACTGGGTAGCCTCTTTAGATTAGCTTCTTTCACAGTAAAATGACTTTAAGAATTCACCATGTCTTTTCATGGCTTGGTAATTCATTTCTTCGAAGTGCTGAATAATATTTCATAGGGTTCTACACCCATGTCTTTGTTCATTGACCTATTGAAGGACATCATGGTTGCTTCCAAGTGAATAAAGCTACTATAAGCATCTATATGGAGGCTTTTTGTGTGAAATTACATTTTGAACCCATTTGGGCCAATTTTAAGGAGTATGGTTTCTAGATTGTGTGGTAAGAAAATGTTTAATTTTGTAAGAAACTGCTGAACAGTCTTCCAATATGTCTGTACCATTGTACATTCCCACCAACATGAATGAGAGTTCTTTTGCTCCACATTCTCACCACTGTAGGATGTTTCCAGTGTTTTAGATTTTGCCATTCTAATAGTTATGTAATGGTATCTTGTTGTTGCTTGAATTGACAATTTCTTGATGATGTAGGATGTGAACTATTGTTTTATATGATTATACTAAATCTGTGTATCTTGTTTAGTGAGTTATCTATTCAGGTCTTTGGCCCAGTTTTGAATTAAGTTGTTCTTTTTTTAACTGTTAAGTTTGTATAATTTGAATAATAGTCCTTTATCAGATATATCTTCTGAAAATATTGTCTCAGGCCGGGGAAATGGCTCAGTAGAATAAGCACTGGCCTGGCAAGCACAAGGGCCTGAGTTCAATCCATGGTTCCACCAAAAAAAAAAAAAAAAAAAAAAAAAAAAAAGAAAAAAAAAAAAAGAAAGAAAGATGAAAATATTTTCTCCCAATTTATGGCTTGTTTTCTCACTCTCTTAGAACTATTATTCTTAAAACAAACAAATACTTTTGTTTTATTCTTACAATAAAAAGTATTAAGTGAACTCTTGTCATTTCATTGATTTACATGTAGTTCATTATACTATACTTTTGAATAGATATGTCATTAAGTATTATATGTTCATAAGAGTAGGTATCATGTCTGGCTTATTTTTAAAAATGTTGATAGTCCTGTGAATATGTAAATGATATGATAAAATATAAATATTGAATCAGAGATTGACCAACTCTCTCTGGAGCAGATTTTAGTCTCTAATATTGCTGTTAAGATTCCAGAACACTGGGCCAGGGAGCCGGGGAAATAGCTCAATAGAATAAGAACTTGCCTCGCAAGTGCGAGGGCCTGAGTTCAATCCCTGGTTCTGAAAAAAAAAAAAAAAAAAAAGAAGATTCTAGAACACTGTGGGTTTTCTTGAGCAGTGCATTAACTGGAATGAAGTGCTGGCCTGAATGCAGATGGTTCCTAGGCCTTCAGATAGTAAAGTCATGCTGCTCTATCTAGTTTGGGAACACTTGGGTTCATTGTTATCTGCCATTCATCTGAGATGTGAAAATTATTTGTTCAAGAAAAGAAGAAAGATACTTTATAGCTATGGAATATCTTCTGAGAAGACATATTGGAATGGTCTCCCAATTCTGCTGTACCATCTTGAATTCCATTATTGACTGATGGGTGAGCTCCTTAGGAGAAACAGTGCATACGTCTTTTGTCTTTATTCAAAGCAGGGCTATATTCTATGTCATCAGTGCTTGGTTTCAGGTATACTATTTGAGATGTTTACATGCTCAGCTATCATTGGCCATCATTCTAGTACAACTTACATTTCAAAAGAGAGAGTCTCAGCACCTGAACCACTATGAGCAAAAATTCCCAAATATTCCAGTGCTTTATGCTCCATCATGAACTCCAGGAATCTCTCAGTGCTGTAAAATTCAGTGGAATCGATGTGAAGCTGCCCTTGTATTTTAATCAAGATGAACTTGAAAGGTGAACATTATAAGTGGGAGAAATTATTTATAATTTGGTAATAAAAGTTTATGTCTAACACTCCAAATTTCATACATCTGCTATGTGCTGGCCCTGAGATATAAAACAATTGAAGTTGCCTTTACGTTTGGCCTTATATGAAAGGTCATAAATTAGAATGATAGCGTTCGTCCTCTTTCCTAGCTCACAAAATTTCCATATTAACATCTTCACCTCAAACATAAATGGTTACCCAGCTACAAAGAAAAGAGTTGCACTGGCCTTTATGAATTATAGTTTATGTTGGAAATCTGTGATACATAAGGCGCTGTTCAGCTCACTGTGAAGTAAATCTATTTCAATGAAGCTAATCCTACCACAGTGAAGGATAATTACAACTGTATGGCCAAGTTAAAAAATAAAATACAGTATATATAAAAATTTAGGTATTTTTTAGATAGCAAATAGTTGCCAAGGTACGCAATTACTTTAAATCTTACAAATATATTTTTATGTCTTCAAAGGATGGTTTTTCTCTGCTAGATATCCCTGCCAAGTTTATTTGAAATAAACTGGCTTTCAATTTTTGAAATGGCTCTTTTCAATGTGTTTTTAACTGATAATATAAAAACTATGATTTTTTTTACTACAGAAAAAACCCACATGACATTTTATTAAGACATATAAAAATAAAATTCATTCCAAAATATTGATGAATTGGACCTGTACTTTATGTTTAGACTTTCAAAAAAGCATGTTTATAGCAAAAAACAGATGTCCTTAATTTTCCAGTATGAAATATCAAATCCATATGCTTTATGGGTGTAGGTTTCCTTCACCAGCCCATTGGTATTGTTAAAAATACAGCAGAGCATAAGCTAGCAGGGTCAAGATTAAGAATAACTTGAATTTCAGGGCTTCAGCCAGAAGGAATGCAGAAATTTAAGAGCAAATGCTAGTACTCAGTAATTTTTCTCATTAGAATCTATTTTCCCTAATTTTGGACTAGTAAACATGATATAAAAATTTAGTAAGGTAGTGATCTGAAAATTGCTGAAATGGTAGCATGTTTTAGTTTATTGATGCTGCTTTAACAAAATACCTAAAGTTGACTGATTATTAACACCAGAAATGTATTACAGTTCTGGAGACTAAGTCCCAGATCAAGGAACCAGCAGAACAAGGTACCAAGAGAGAGCTGGTACTCTGAGTCATGAATGTCACCTCCTAATTTCATTCTCACATGATGAAAGGGAACAAGGGAACTTTCTTATAAAGGTGCTGATCCTGTTCATGATGGTGAGGCCTTCATGAGTCCATCTTTTCCCTGTATCTTAATGCTGTCATATTGGAAATTAGATTTTAACATAAGAATTTTGGGAGGATACCAACATTCAGACCTTGGAGGACTTCCTGGATGACTCCGCTTGA